TCTTAGAACATAAACCCAATGTGTTAAGACAAGACAATCCCAGCCATACATATTTTAAGAACATTTCGCGCAGACCACAAAAGGTTCTTATAACATTGTTTGGTAGGCCTCTAGGCACGCCAAAACGCTTCGCCAATGCTTGGCCCTGGTGCGGTCGCGCCGTTTTTTCCGCAGTGTTGCGCGTCACCGTGCCCGGCGCAGGTGGTCGACGCCAGCAGCCTGGCGGCGGCTGCCAGCGGTGGCGGCCCCGCCCCTGTGCCCGCGACGGCCGCGCAGAGGGCGCACAGCTCGCCTGTCCGGTGGCCACTCACGGGAGCCTCCCACACCATCGTGTCGGCTCTTGCGAACCGACGCTAATCGACACTAGCCGACGCTAAACCGACGCTAATCGACGCGAGCCGACGCTAACACGGCGCTATCTCATCGACTCCCAGACGTTAATCGACGCCAGTCGACGCGAAAGACTGAATTAACAGGGTATACCAGGCTCCCACGAATTGACCCTGAACGCATGTGCTGGCGTTCTGGCCCGAGTCTTGCCTGACCTTCGGTCGTCGGCGTGGCAGGCTCGTCACCAAGGACCCGATGGGAACCTCCCGAAGGACCGCCGCGGAAGGGCGCCCGAGCAATTGCCCAAGATTCGGAAAGGACTGCACCGGCGACGAGGAGGATGAGGAGGCGGAGGAGATGGAAGAGGACGAGGAGGAGATGGAAGAGGAGGATGAACAGGAGGAGGAGGAGATGGAAGAGGAGGAGGAGGAGGTGGAGGAGGAGAGGGTGTCCCAAGGCCCTGCAAACGGGGCGTCAGTAAACGGGCCAGTAGCTAAGCGTGCGTTTCCAACGGAGTTCTCAAAACATGGACTTGCGGCGCACATGTGAGTGGTACCCCCCGCCGCCCAGAGTCGTGACGATGTGTCGGCATTTTTGTCGTCCCGAATTATCACGCACTGGTGCGAGGTAAATGCCATGTCGCCCCGTTCTCGCTTGAAGAAGCCCCTTCGCTACCGCCCCGTTTACTAACGCCCCGTTTGCAGGGGCTTGGACTCGAGTGAGACGCTGATAGAAGAAGAAAGAACGCCATAAACATACACTTTTGGCGCTCAGCGCGTACTCCTTGGACCCGCGCTGGACCCCTATCCCTGGCGCGCGAAGCTCGCCAGGGGCGGCGCCGCTAAAGGCCCAACGCGGATCAATAAATCCGCGCGGAGCACCAAAAGTTCATGTTTATGTTGCAGATGCCATGACAATGGACACCCTAACAGTCCTATCATTAAAAGATGTGTACAATGTCTCAGAAAAACAGGCAACAAAAACCTTAAAGCATGCTTTAAAGGTTTCAGACGTGTTTAATGATTCGAGACATCTGAAAATCATTTGGCAACATGCTTCCTCTCCATTGATCGTCCTCCACAGTGGTTATGGCGTTTTGTCTCCTTCGAGCTGAACGCTTCGCAGGCGAAGCGTCTGGCGTCTCACTCGGGCTCCTGGGCGCTCCTGCGGTGGCCAAAACACCCTCAACGCAGAGGAACCCGTTGCCCCGGGCGAGCGGGCGCGGCATCGTGGGGCCACGGGCTTCTCTCCAGGCGCCTCCCGGGACGCACAAAGACATACGTAGATTAGGTTGGGCATGGTCCCCTGTAGGCAGATTCTGGAGGAAACCATGAAAAATTGTCAAACAGATCCCAAAACAAATCGTAGAAAAATCGTCCCCCAACAATTGGAATAGTCCTCCTGTAGAGGGACACGCCGGACTCAATTCTTGGAGGCGCGCGTCCGACCCGACCAGATAATATACTCGTCCTGTAGAATATCGTTTCCCGAGCGGTGTGGCCACAGAAAGTGCCCGGCACGACGCATCCACTGAAACATTTCTCGGTGCGCGCGTCGCCCCTGGGGGGGGGGGTGCGGCGGCGCACACATGGTAGAAACATGTTGGGGTGACGCCCATCTCAAGGTCTTCCGGTGCACGGCAGGCTGCACCCGAGGGGTTTGCCACTGCTCCGCCGCCGAGCACGGCGCGTCGGTGGTGCCGTTGGGAATGCACCCTGCTCTGGACTAGCCGCTGAAGGCCAGACTGGGGGGGTGGCCACGTGCAACCTGCATCGGCTGGTGGGCATGTCGAACTGGGAGCTTCGGTGCCCAGTTCGGAGTGGGCTTCTGCCGATGGGTGTAGCGCGTCCCTGCTTCAGAGTAGTAATCCCCAGTCGTCAGGAGGGGTGCGAACTGAAGGGGCTTTGCGGAGCCATCTCGTACTCGGGGCTTCGGCTCCGAATACGGGGTGATACGGGGTGGTTGCGGCGCTTCGCCACGGGTGCGCTCCCCGATTGGCTCCATGAGTGAGAAAAGCTGGCCCAAACTGTCCTCCTCCTGGCCCCCCTCCTTATCCGCCTCCTCCTCCTCCACCTCCTCCACCTCCTCCTCCTCCTCCTCTTCCTCCCCCTCCTCCTCCACCTTATCCGCCGCCTCCTCCTCCTCCGCCCCCTACCCCTCCTCCGCCTCCTCCTCCTCCTGGCCTATCGATCATCCTGGCCTCCTGCTCCCCGTCCTCCTTCTCTGGCCTGTGGCGAGTAGGCCCGCGGGGCGAGCGCCCTCCAACGACGACAAGACGACGACGACGACGACGACGACGACGACGACGACGACAAGACGACGACAAGACGACGACAAGACGACGACAAGACGACGACAAGACGACGACAAGACGACGACGACGACGACGACGACGACGACGACGACGACGACGACGACGACGACGACATCCGAGACCCTCGGGGAGCCCGCGGCAGCCTCCGAGAACCCTCGGGGGCCCTCGAGAACCTCCGAGAGACCTCGGCAACCTCCAAGATCCCTCGCGAAAGCCTCCGAGAAGCCTCGATCGGAGCAGGGCGGGCTCAGGCAGCCGGACCAAAAGATCGGTCCCCTGGCCGGGCCCCTCCCGGGGTGCGCGCGAACGCACAGCTGCAAGGCAGATCCGGCCGTGGCCACGGGGGCGCCACGGGACGGGACACCTCCGGAGATCGAACCTGGAGCCTCGAACCTCGGAGCCTGTCGGCCCCCCCCTCTCTCGGAGGAGGGCGAGTTGAGGTAACGGCAGCTGGGAAGTGGTCCCCGGACCACGGGGGTGCCACAGGGCGGGACACCTCCAGAAATCGAACCTGGAGCCTCGAACCTCGGAGCCTGTCCCCCCCTCTCCTCTCTCGGAGGAGGGCGAGGTGGGAGAACGGCAGCTGGGGAGTGGTCCCCGGGCGCCTCCCGGGAGGCCCAGCGCACCACTCCTCCGCGCTGCGTCCCGCCGTGGCGGCCAGGGCCCCCCCCCCAAAGGGCCACCTGCCGCTGTCCCAATGGGCCCTCGGACGAGCGAATAGGAAGCTTTCGATGCCTCTCGGGAAGCGACGACGACGACAACGACGACGACGACAATGATGATGATGACGACGACGACGACGACGACGACGAGGACGACGACAACGACAACCTCGACCACGACCACGACGACGACGATGACGACGACGACAACCACAACATCAACAACGACAACAGGAGGACGACGATGACGACGACGATGAGGGAGACGGGAGGTGGAGGATGAGGAGAATGGGGGAGAGAAGGAGGAATCGATGTTTTACTTGCAGAATGGGGCTACGTGCCAAGCCAATCAAGAAGCAAAACTGTGTATAGTGTATGGCAAGCCGTCTCAGGATTGGCTCTCTTGCAATCATATCCCCTAGCGGCGATGCAGGCAGGTGCGCACACGTGAAGCTACTACGCTGGTGCGAGGCGCGGGGGCTGAGTACTACACAATTCACAACATGCCAGACCAGTGCAATTCTCAGAGTTTAGAGCCAGAAGCTTCCGTAGCCTTATGCTTCACGCCGCTACGCCGTTGCACCTGTCACGCCCCTTCGCCGTTGCACCTGTCACGCCCCTTCTTCGTTGCACCTGTCACGCCCTCTGCGGTTGCACCTGAACTGGTGGCCTCTAGGGCAGACCACATGTCTATCACAACAGCATGTGGTCTCAGCTCACATACAGGCGGCAAGCGACGCCGCACGGCGCCTCAGGCAGGGATACAGAAAGAGCGTGACTACGCAAACTCGAAAGGGCAGTAGTCGGACCCCTCGGAGGGGTGGGGTGAAGGAGGGCGGTGTGGAGGCGCCGTGCCCCCCGAGGGTCCCCCTCTCACGAAGACGATTGGCGTCGCACCTACTGCCGCAGCATCGCCTCGAGGCACGTGCTGGCCTCGTCCTCCAGCCAGCCAGGCGGTGTCACGACGGTGTGGCGCGTCACCTTGCCCTCGTTGTGGAAGGTGTGTGTGATCGTGCCTCTCATGGGCCACTGGGGGGCTGCCAGGCACAACTTCGCTTTGGACTCGTCGTGCATCTTCTCGAGGCGCACCGCCGCCACGTCCAGGTCGATGGCCGTGCGGTCCATGGTCGGCTCGGCCCCCGACGGAGGCATGACCAGGGCGAGGTATGCAGGCCTGGGTGGCCTCCCGTGTCTTGCCGCCAGTGTCGCAACTGGTGACCAAGCTCTCTAGGAGAGCGACCGCGAGGGCAGCCACGGGGCTGCCCACCTCCTTCGAGGCCTCGGGCCCCTCGTCGCGTGCTGTCGCGGCGGCGGTCCTGTACACGGCAATCGTCTCCTCGAACTTCACCGCGACCGCCTGCTTCCTGTCCATGGCGAATGTGTCGAAGACCGTGGCTGCCGTGATGCGTTGCTTGTGGGCGATTTGCAAGGTCAACTTCAGCAGCGTCACGATGACCTGCTGGAGGTTCTGGTCCTCCGATGTCCATTTCTTCTCGATGTGGTTGGCGCGTCGGCCTCGCCGACCTCCTCGATGGCCGTGACGCCGTGACGGCCGCCACCCTTGCCGCCGTATTTAGCCTTCGTCTTCTTTTCGCCGACCTCCGCCTCGAGGAGGAGGAGGAGGATCAGTAGCAGAAGGGGGCGGATGAGGCGGGTCAGTAGTAGTAGGAGGAGGCGGAGGAGGAGGAAGAGGAGGAGGAGGAGGCGGCGGCGGCGGCGCGGTAACGGGCCGAGTCGAGAGTAACCTCCGACAACATCAGCAATCGAAATCGAACTTCGAATTCAGCGACCTGCCGCGCGCGGTAGTATACTGCGAGCAGGCCCCTGCGGCGGGAGCCCCGAGCTGCCCCCGCTCCACCAAATTCGGCCAGAGCAGGAGGAGGAGGAGGAGGAGAAGGCGGATCAGTAGGAGGGGGAGGATCACTAGGAAGAAGACGACGACGACCCCGTGACGAAGGCCAGCACGGGGGGCGCCAGACGCGCGCCTTGGTGCGGAGGCCGAGGCGGCCACCGGCCGAGAGCCCGAACGTGAACACCTCTCCGGCCGGCGGCGGCGAAGGAGACGCCCAAGGGCTGCGCGCGGCACGCGGCAGGAACTTGGTTCCTCGCTGGGGGTCTTCCAGACGAGGTTCGAGTTTCGAGGATCGGGGTTCGCCTCCCAGAGATTGTTGATCGTCCTGGGGCGCCTTCGTGGCCTCGGCTGGATCCGCCTCGAAATTCTGAGCAGAACGCACTCAAGGAGAGGTCCACGAATCGATGTCAGACCCCTGATCACTCAGGCCTCTCGAATGGGGTCCGAGTGCCACATCGCCGATGCATCGGCGCTGCGGCTCGATGCTGGGCCCAGCTTCCTTCACGCCGACGTCGCCGATGCATCGGCGATGCGGCACGGATCCTGCGACACAACATGCTCATATCCCGTACGGGAAGCCTGGAGTTGCAGACCCAGCGCTCGCGCAGCTCGATGGGGCGGGCAAAGGGGCCACTGTACAGCAAGTGGGCGCGCTGCAGGAGGGGGAACGAGGGAGCATGGGGGCGGCGGCGGCCGCGAAGGGATGGGGGAGAGGGAGGTGACCCCGGGGATCCCCCCCACAAAAAATACCAGCTTCCAACGACCAGCGTATAGGCCCCCGGCGTCCCCCTAGGAGCGGCGATCCGAAACGGGTCCGCCTTAGGTCGGACATATCCCCCTACAGGCGGGGTTTGGACGACAACAGAAGAATAGTCCAACAATACCCCAAAATGACCCAAACTAGTGTATGTATACATATATATATATACACACCGTCCCCAGATTATGTTTGCCTATGTCTGAATATTCCTCCTGTAGAAGGACACGCCCGACTCAAGTCTTGCCCGAGATGACTCTTGCGACCTTACGCGGCGGCCTGCGAGGAACCGCTGGCGCGGCACGCCACGTAGAAGGCGAGGGCGCTTGCGCGCGACCTTCCGCTGACGCGCCAGTGTCGGCGCAGCTGACCCCTTTGTTATTCGTCGCCCCTGTGCTGCCCTGTTTGGGGGATGTTCGACCTCCCCCTCCACATCCCAGATCTCCCATCTTTCCACCCTGGGCATCGAAAACTTGATTGTGCTTGTGCCCTCTTGCCCCCTCCTCCGCCCCTCCCGCGGCCCCTGCCCGTGCTCCTCCCTTGGCGGAGGGCGAGAGGAACATCTGCACGGACGCAAACTGTCGCAACTCTGCGCGGATCTCTTGGATCGCCGCTGGGCGCCCCCTGGCGGCGCCTCGGGCGCCACCCCTGGCGCGCTCCGCGCGGCAAGCTGGGTGGGCCATCGCCGATCCAAGAACTCCGCGCGGAGCTCCAAACATTGATGTTTGTGCCACTTTCTCTTCTCCGAACCTTCTGTGGCATCCTCGGGGGACTCTGTCTGTCCCGTCGCGGCCGTCCGTGTCGAATCCGTGTCGAATCCATATCGGACTCGTTGGATCCGTGTCGAATCCTTGTCGAATCCGCGTCGATTCCCCGCCAAATCCGCGTCGAGTCCTCATGGAGCCCGCGTCGGGCCCAAAAAACACACCAATTTGGGGGACAGGCGAGGTCCCCCGAAGATGCAACGTAATTTCCCTCCGTCGAACTCGCCCTCCCCGCCCCCGCCACCGCCGAAGCTCCTTCCATGGGGAGCCGCTCCTGGGAACTATCCGCGAGAAGGAGCGGTGGCTATCGGGCCCGACTTCGGGGGCCAATCGGCCGCATGAGGCCAGAGGATGGCTGTGCTGGGCCGCATTCCGCGGCTTTTGTGGCAGATTGGAAACCAAGGTCGGCAAGTCTTCGACCAGAGATACACCAGGGCCAATGGTGCATCCTACCTCTCAGGTTAGATTCGGGCATTGGCAAGACTAGATTTAGTGGGACCTGGTTTAGTCATAAGTACTGGGGGACGCCCCCAACCGCCCCGTTCCAATAACCGGAACTGCCTGCACCCGCAAAAAACACCGGCAACGGCAGACCTGGTTTAGTGATTCTGGCCAATGTAGGGGCTCCGGGGCCCTGCCACTAACCGGGTCCCATTACCTGGGGTCCTGGCTATACCCGATAGACGAGTTCCAAATGTTTGGCAAGTCTTCGACCACAGATTTACCAGGGCCAATGCTGAACTACATCTCTCAGGAGCTGCGTCATTTAGCCTCCCGTGCCCCGCCTCCCTCCGGCGCTCCCTCCTTCCCCTCCCCTCCCTCTCCTCCCTCTCCCCCTTCCTCTCCTCACTCTCCCCCCCCTCCCTCTCCTCCCTCTCCTCCCTCTCCTCCCTCTCCTCCCTCTCCTCCCTCTCCTCTCTTCACTCTTCCCTCTCCTGCCTCTACTCCCTCTCCTCCCTCTCCTCCCTCTCCTCCCTCTCCTCCCTCCACTCCTCCCCCTCTCCTCTCCCTTCCCTCTCCTCCTTCTCCTCCCGCCCCCTGCCCGCTGGCGTGCGCAACTCTGCATGGGGCTGCGGCGACCAGGCAGTGGGCGGGGACCCAGAGCCCGATGGGGCCCAGCAACGCTGCCCGCCAGGCGGCGCGGCGCATTCCGGACGGAGGGGGTGCGACGAGCAGGCCGCCTCCGTCTGCCCCTCCCTCCTCCCCCTCCCCCTCCTCCTGCTTCTCCGTCTCCTCCTCCTCCTCCTCCTCCTCCTCCTCCTCCTCCTCCTCTTCCTCCTCCTCCTCCTCCTCCTGCTTCTCCTTCTCCTCTTCCTCCTCCTCCTCCTCCTCCTCCTCCTCCTCCTGCGGCGCTCGACCGGCCCCTTGCACGCTGCCTGGCGCTGCCCGCAGCGGGCCCCTCCGGCACGACGCGGGCATGCTGCGGCACTGCGGGGCCCGAGAAGGGGGGGCGAGTCGAGAACAGGCTGACATGGATTAAAGGTGGACCCGGGCCAGAACTTCGTCCTTCGAGAACGTGCGACCCTCCGCTGGCCACAGCACACCGAACATCTAGGGGTAGCCTCCCCGGGATGCACAAGCGCATCCACGAAGCACGAAGAACATCAGGGCACCCTCCCCGAACCGACCTCGACCGTATGGCTCGGCCCGAGTCGACCAAGGTCACCCAACTAAGCGCTTGCCTGGCGCCCCGCGATGGGCGACGCGCGGTTTCTAGCGCCGTCGCGCCATCGCCTCGACCCATGTAGAAGGAGAACCGCTCTGGCCGAGGCCGCGACGCGCCAACCGGGATTGTCTTCGCGCATCCACGCGCCTCCATCCATGTTTGCGCTTCCTGGAAAGGAGGGCTGCAATGACGCGCAGCCCCCCCCAGACTCGGCACGGAGTCGACTCGTGGCCCGTGCATTCCGCCTCCTCCTCCTCCTCCGCCTCCTCCTCCTCTTCCTCCTATTCCTCCTCATCCTCCTCCGCCTCCGCCTCCTCCTCCTCCTCCTCCTCCTCCTCCTCCTCCTCCCTCTCTCCCTTCCTCCCTCCCGCCGCCCTCTCCCTGCACTCTCATCCACTCCTCTGCCTCCTCCTCTTCCTCTCCTGCCACCACTCCCTCCTCCTCTGCCTCCTCCACGTCCACCTGACTCCTCACTCCTCGATCGGCCCTCACCCATCCGCCGACTACGACGACATTGAACTCAGCGGCGGCTCCGACGAGGGCGGCAACAGATCCGAAGCCGAAACGACGGCAACTCTGAGCCGACGACTCCGACACTGGAGACGACGGCGAAGACGACGATAGCAGCGACGACTCGACCGACGACTCAGTCCCTTACGTTCGTCCGACTGTGGCGACAGCGACGACGACTCGGAGTTCGACGACACTGGAGGCGGTGACGATGACGTCGGCAGCCGCGACGGCCACATGGTCGTCGGCGGCGGCGAAGACGGCGACGAAGAGGGGGGGGACAAACGAGGTACCGACACCGATCCTCCCCAAACCTCGCCCGGCGTGAGATCCCGACCATGACTGCGAGGCGGATCTGGCCGTGGCGACGAGGGCCTCCCGGGAGGCCCAGGAGTTAGGTCGGGCATGTCCCACTACTGGCAGATGTTGGAAGAAAAACGTTAGCCAACAACAGATGCACATATTGTCAAACATAGTCGCAAAAGTCGCCTCCAGACTATTTTGTTTGACTATATTTTTGATTTTCCTCCTGTAGAAAAACATGCCCGACATCAAAATACTGTCGGGGCGTTGACCTAAGGAACCCTAATCAAGGAACGAGGCCCCACTTCTCCATGATTGAAACTTCGATATGTCCTACCGAACACAAACAAAAACAACCTGAAGAAAACTGTGCAACAATTAAGTAACACGGAACCCTTCCCAACGAAAAGGGTTCCTTCTCCACCGCCCCGACTGTACCTATGTCTCCCCCAGGACTATGCCGCCCCCATCGCACTTGGAGGCCACATCCCTGAAATAATTTCGAGCACCCAGAAAAAGCGTCGAAAGAGTGTCGAAACAATGTCGGACGAGTGTCTCCCAGGGCCCGACACGTGCAGACCCTCAAGTTTCTGGTGCTCGAGATCCTTTCGGGGGATCAAAGCCTGAGACATAGGCCATAGGCTGGCACATCATGACTTCAGCGCCCCGAGCTGCACCCGTGCTTCCCCCCGGGAGGGGGCGACGAGCACGGCGGCGGCGGCGGCCCGGCGGCGCGACCCAGGCCGCGAGGGGCCTCGCCGTCGGCGCTGAGCACGGCGCTGAAGCCGCCCCCGCAGCACGCCTTGACGATCCGCGGCTTCAGCAGCTGCAGCCCGAGGCTCCTCGACGGCGGGGCGCGTCGGCGGCCCTGGGAGGCGGAGGAGGAGAGGAGGCGGAGGAGGAGGAGGAGGAGGGGAGGAGGGGAGGGGGAGGAGAAGGAGGAGAGGGATGAGGAGGAGGAGGAGGAGGAGGAGGAGGAGGAGAGGGGGGGAGGAGGAGGAGTAGGAGGAGGAGAGGAGGCGGAGGAGGAGGAGGAGGAGGAGGCGGAGGATGGATGGATGGATGGGACGTCATCAGAGAGGCCCTGGCAGCCGTCCGCAAGCAGACGACCGCCAGAGCCCCAGAAGTCACAGAGTCTGCTACGCGGCCGCGCTCCGCGCGCAAATGCTGATAGCTGGCACGATGCGTTGCAACTGTTTTTGGCAACGGGGATATCGCCGGAATGGAAAGTTGAGAAGGCATCCGTGTTTCAAAGGGACCCTTCCCAAAATGAAAGGAGACTCTGCCAACAATGAATGGAACGTGTGCAAGGACATTTGAGGATGGGTCTTGCGTCGGGAAAGAGAATTGCAGCGTCGTCGATGTAGCCTGACCTCCGTACTGCCTCTTTCCTCGTCATAATCATGCTCTTTCTTATCGTCTTCATCCTCCCCCTCCCCCTGCCTGCTCGCCCAGACCCACCCTGCTTTTCAACCATCCTGGTCCTCCTATTCCTACTCTTCCTCATCCTCCTCTTTGCTTCCCTCTTCTTCCCCCTTCCTCGCTCCCCTGGGGGGGGGCGGTAGAGGGGGGAGGGGGAGACGGAAGAGATGGGGAATAGGAGACAACGGAAGAGACAGAGAGGGAGACGAGACAGGATGGCTGATGAGAGGAGAGAATGCGGAAGGACAAGAGGACTCCGCTACTGCTTCTCCCCGGACCTCTCCCTGGGGTGCATCCTGACCCGCGCATCGACGAGAACCAGCCGTGGCGACGGGGGCTTACCAGGACGAGCAGCGGTATCGGTATGTGTTCTTCCTCGGCGACGACGGCGACGACAACGTCGACGACGAGTACGACTACGAGTACGAGTACGAGTACGAGTATGAGTGCGACGACAACGACCACGACCACGACCACGACGACGACGACGACGACGACGACGACGACGACGACGACGACGGCTGAGAAGGTCCGACCCTGCCACGGAGCTACAGGCCCGCGCGCGCGCGTCTCACGCGCCGCCCGCGACGCGGGGCCAGCCCGTGTTGGCCCGCTGCGCTGGCGACGGCGGGGGCCTCCGGGGCGGTATAGTTTGACCCCCGAGGCCCCCTCGATCCTGACGATGACGATGACGATGCCTGAGGGGTCTCGGGCGGGTGGTACTGGGGGGCGGCCTGAACGGGGGGGCGAACCCTGAGATCCTGGCGTCGCAATTCTTTCACAACGGGCGTTTACGCTCAGCGTCGGGCCCAGGGACCCTCCCAGATCGATCTGGCTCAAACAAGAACGCAGAAAGATGGGGTCCGGGGCTCCGGGCGTGATTTTCCCCGATGTTGCACATTTTTTGCAACGTCGGATCTCAAGATAAACGGGGGGTGAGAAAGAGTGCCATATAAAGGAGCCCTTTTAGAGCTCCTTTTTAGGGCCCCTGCTGGCGCCAGAGGGTACCCCAAAAGGGTCCCTTTGGGGGGTACTTTTCTTCACCCCCCATTGGAAGGGGCCCAGGGACACACTAATAAATTCACACGAATCCTAGGATTCTCTGTATTGCTGCATATTTGTTGGATTTTCGTCTTCCCCGCAACTTCCCATATTTTCGCATATTTTCCTGGGAATCCGCCGACCCTGTCGGCGTGTGCGAGGGGCTTCCTCGTCCGAATCGTCTTCGTTGTTCGGATTGACATCGTTGTGTTTTCGTTGTTCGGATCGTCATCGTTGTCCATGCCGTTGTAGATTCGAAGGGAAGCCCCTTCCCTTTGATCCCTTCCCCAGGGGGAGGGGGGGCCCGGGGGGGGTGGAGGGGGGGTCCGGGGGGGTGGGGGGGGGGGGTGGGGGGGGGGGGGGGGGCAGATTCGTTTTTCCTCGGGCGGCCTAGAAACCTCGAAAACACTCCAAATGAGGTCCGAATGCCCAAGATGGCCCCCGAGACGGCCCAAGAGGGCCCCGAGTCGCCCAAAGATCGGCCGAAAACGCCCAAGATAGCCCCAAGACCGTCCAAGAAGCCTCCAAGACGTCCCAAGCCTCCAAGAGACCCCCAGGAAGCCCGAAGAGGCCCCCACGAGGCTTCCAAGCGGCCCCTGAGAGCTTTCCAAGAAGAGGCCCACCAACTACCCCCAAGAGGCCCCCAAGAGCGCTCGTCGTCGTCGTCGTCGTCGTCGTCGTCGTCGTCGTCGTCGTCGTCGTCATTCAGGGTCGGCGGCACCGGCCGTAAGGCCTTCGCAATCGACGATTAAGTGTGTCTGCGTCTTTTCCCCCCTGACCCGTGTGGGCCACCCCCCAGTACCACCCGCCCGCGAGTGGGAGGCCTCGTACATAGGGTTCGGGCAAATGAGGTCGGAGGGTCGCGCCGCATCACCGATGCATCCCGGATGCATCGACGATGCATCGGCAACAACAGCGATGCATCGGTGACGGCAGCGATGCACCAGCGCGATCGGGGTGGAGCAACGCCTGCTCCACATCGAGCCGCATCGCCGATGCATCGTCGATGCGGGGGCGGTCCTCCGACCCCATCCAGTCGGATCCTATTTGGGAGGAGGCCACATGCGAACCCCTACCCTCCCCCCTCAGAACTCGTGGGGTGGCGGGGTAGGGTTCGCATGCGGCCCTTACTGGCAGGCCTGGAGCACTGCTGAGTGCACGCTGCGTCCGTGCCTGCGGTGTCACCAGGGCTCGCCCAGCGCCCTGGCGAGGCTGAGCTGCAGACTCGGCCCTCTCTTGACTGAAGGGGCCCTGGGACACACAAATAAATAGACACAAATAAAAAGATTCCCCATATTTTCTGGGTTTTCGTCTTCCCTCCCACTTCCCATATTTTCCCATATGTTCCTGAGATTTGACGATGGATTGGGTCTGTGTGTTTGTTGCCCTCCTGATTGGCGGCGCGCCAAAGGGGGGTAGGGGGGGGGAAGGCTTCTTAGGAACACCCTGCTTCTTAGAAGGCCCCGGCCTGTCATCTAATTATAGAGAAGGCCAGCGCCTTCTAAGAAGCAGGGATGCTTCTAAGAGGCCTTCCCCCCTCCCCCTACCCCCCTCTGCGCATGGCCGACCCTCACATGGGGACTCTGATGAACCAGGGCACTGGCGCGCGCCAGAAGAATTGCAGCCGTGGGTCGCAACATCCGCCATCCTTCGAGCTTTCCGGGCGGCATTGTCGAGGCGTCCTGGCTCACAAGTGTCCTGAGTGTAGGAGGCCCCCGACTGGACATCTGCACAGGCCCCCAGGAAGCCTCCCCATGGGTTCCTCACGGGGGTCTACGGCCGGTGCCTTGTTTGAGGGGGGGTGCTCGGGGATGTCGGGGAGCGATGTCGCATGACACCTCGCTCGTCGAGCGTGAGGGGCAAAGTCAGGGTTAGGTGGGGCATGCCCCCCTACGGGCAGATTTTGGAGGAACAATAAAAATTGACAAAACATCAAAAAATAGTCAAAACGTTATCTTAGTTTTGACTATGTTTGAATATTCCTCCTTGAGAGGGACATGCACGACGTAACGCTAGGGGGGGGGGGGGCAGCTCAGGGGGGCACATCGGCCTGGTATCGGCGATGAGTATAACCGATGGATCCATCACCGCGCGTTCCTCGCCGCGGTGGCTATCGGGCCCCCACGCCGGCGATGAGCGGGCGCTGTTTAGAGGGCAGAAAATCCACCCCCATAAGGATCACCCCGACACGCGAAGCCGTTTAGCAAACGCGGCCCACATAAGGAATCGAACAGGGCAGGGCTGTTTAGTAAACGCCCAGGGCCGTTTAGTAAACGCCGATTGTCGGGTCAGGGTGGTGTTCTTCCCTTGAATGTTGGCGGCGCGCACAGGGGTGTGTGAAGGGGGAGGACTTCGTAAAGGATTTTGCTTCTTAGAAGGCGCGCGCTCTGCATCTGCAGAGAAGGCCCGCGCCTTCTCAGAAGAATGGGTGCTTCTGAGACGCCGTCCCCGCTGCCCCCACCACACTCTGCGCTTGGCTGAGGTTTTGGGGGGATGCGACCGCCAGTAAGCCTATCCCCGCTCAACTTCGGTGGCAACTCATGGGGACCTCCCATACAATCTTGTCGGCTCTTGCGAATCGACGCTCATCGACGCTAGTCGACGCTGCATCAACGCTAGCCGACGCAACATCAGCACATCTCATGAAGACTCCCAGGACGCTAGCGGGCACTAAAGACGGAATGAAGAGAGTAGACCAGGTTCCCATGATCTGCTACCGAACCCAACTCTGGGTTCCTTAATACGCGTGGGGGGGTCCCCCCCGACCGGGGTCAACCTCGCCTCGTCGTCGCGCCGCGACGGGGGTCGGAGCGCCTTCGGCGCGCGGTGGCTGCCCGCGACGGAGGTCGATGTGGGGCTGTCGGCGGGGGTGACGCCCCCCCGACGCTCAATAAGATACTCGGAGAGGAGGAGGAAGAGGATGAAGAAGAGGAGGAGGAGGAGGAAGGGGAGGAGGGGGAGGAGGAGGAGGAGGAGGAGGAGGAGGAGGAGGAGGACCAGTGTAAAACCAAGAGTCAGCAACGATGTTGGAATCAACCCTCCCTCCAAGCTCCCTCTTCATATGCCCCCACAGCGGTTCATTTCCATTGAGGGAACTGCCTCGTTGGAAGACAATTGTTTGAAGATCCTGAAGCATGCCGAAACATTGCTCTCCGGATTTCAACGCCACGCATCAACCTGACTGTTGCGTCTTGACGATCCGGAATCGCGCACGAACGCCAACTCTGGGACTTCAACACTGCGAACCCACATAAGTGTTGCACCCGCAAAATCCTGAAAACTTCCGAAACACCATGTCTTGTACGCTCTTCATCAGAATCCGTGAGAATCTTGCAAATGTTGAAAACGAATGTGCGCGGCGCTGAGGCGAGAGCCACAT